CAACTTCATCACAAACGTATTTTTTTTTACACATTTTGATAACCCATATTATTGGCTGCCTATGTCACTCACTGTATTCTATTTTATGCACCTAAAACGATTATTCACCAAATGCCAAAGGGATCTATGACGTAATTGTTTGAAAAGTAAGAAGCTTTGCTTTAGGCTCTCTCTGTAAGCGCGTGCTTTTCCCGCCTCTGGCAGAGCTTTCCCAGTCATTTTCAGGTAATAAAACCCCGTCCATCCTTTCCTTCCACAACTGCAGTCTAGCCATCAGTAAATCAGAACCCACACTCATGTCTACTCTGCCTCTCCTCTTTCCCCTGCTGGTTGGTGGTCCAGGCTCTGCCAGGTATCAGTGGGGAAGGGAGCCAGCACTTTCTCTGGCCAGAGTCACATCAATAGACTGGGGTGCAGCGACTGGCAAGTGGGGGTAACCAGTCCATAGCCCTCTGTGTAAGGTTGAGGTTTCAGGCCTATGCTGGGGGACGGGTATGGGAGAAGGGGTTCCTGGGAAGTCCCCTGCCCAGCCCTGGTCTGGGCCAGCTCTTGTCCTGCTAGCTAGCCAGTCCTTCCCTCCACTTCCAATGGTCCATCCCCCCCACAGATTCTCTGTGGAGACTCACATCTGCTAGGGTCCCGTCTCCCCTCTGAGCCCACAAAGAAAATATACACCTCCTTGCTCAATGGTAAGAATCGTTAGCCAGCCCCCCCCCACCGCCCTCTCTTTCTCTTGCTCCCCCTCATCAGCTCCACTGGCCACCTCTCACTCTTAGACTTACCACAAAGGTGTCAGATGCCAGCCTCTTATACTCACCCAAACTCTAGGGGGGATTTTTGAGCCCTTTGCGACATCCCCGCTTGGCAGAGATGAGAAGGAAGAAGCACTGCCCTCCACTGCCTGTGGCTGGGGAGTGCCACAGACTCCAGCATCTCTTTGCTAGACACCGTCCTCCCCAGCCTCTGCAGCACCTACCTTTCATAGGCTGGAGATGAATGCTCCCTGACAATGGCACAGCCACCTGTGTTGCCAAGGCAAGGGGTCTAGGCACCTCCTGGTGCTTGTAACCCATGATTCTATTCCTAGCCTTGGGGACCTCAGCAGAAACCAAGAAAGAAACAGACTGATTTTAATAACTTGGTTGTTATGAGTTGAATTGTGCCCCTCTAGAAAAATTCATATGCTGAAGTCTTAACCCCCAGTACCTAAGAAAGTGATCTTATTTGGAAATAGGGTTGTTGCAGATGTAATTAGTTAAGGTGAGGTCATACCAGAGGAGGATGGGCCCCAAACCAATATGATTGGTGCCCTTATAAAAGGAGAAATTTGGACACACACACACACACACAGGAATAACACGTAATGATGAAGGCAGAGGTCAGGGTGATGCAGCAGAAGCCAAGGAATGCCAAAGATTCCAGCAAACCACCAGACACTAGGAATGCAGCATGGAACAGATTCTCATTCACAGCCCTCAGCAGGAACCAACTCTGCTGACACCTTGATCTTGGACTTCCAGCCTCCAGAACTGAGAGACAGTAAATTTCTGTTGTTTAATCCACCCAGTCTGTGGTACTTTGCTATGGAAGCCCTAGCAGACTAATACACTGGTACATTTATTTCAAAAAGAGCTACCCAGGTGTGTTTACGGGATATTGGCAAGTACAGGAAGCACCTGGTAAGCACTTGGTCTCATTGAACCCTGACAACACCCCAAGTGTGGATGATGAGCCTCACGGGCTCCATGGGAGGGACCCAAGGTTTAGAGAAGTTAAAATGTCTCCAAGGTTACGTGGGTGGTAAGCAGAGTACAGGTCTCAAACCTAAGCTGTTTGACTGCAGGGCTTGTGTGCTGAGCTGTGATGGGGACTTTTAAAACTCCCACATTCCATTCAAATGTGTTTGCACGTTTCCATCTGACACAAACAAAAAAAAAGATGAGATCTTTCCTGGAATTTGGAGAAGGATCTGGAAGTCTCCACTTCCCATCCTCCTCATCACCAGCAGCTCACAGAGATTGAGCATTTACCACATGCTGTCTTCCTCCAAGGGCCTGAGGAGATTTTCCACTGAATCTTCTGGAAGCTTCTGATACTAGAGATATTATTAGCACATTTTACAGTGGAAGAAACCAAGCCTTAGGGAGGCTGAGAAAGACTCCCAAAGACTCTGGAGATTAGCCCTCCAGAGGGGAGTGTCAGTGAGCACGTTAGGGAGGCAGGTGCTGGGGAAACGTATCCTGCAGGTGACAGTCCTCACCACAAAGTCACTGATGCTTGTGACACTGAGTGGGCACTGAAACCTATGGAGAGAGAAGAACCATGCTCTCCAAACAAGATGGATCAATTTATCTCACCAGGCCTGGGAAGGCAGCAAGAGAGGGACCCCCAGAAGACCAGGACCAGAGCTGGCTGAGCCCAGGGTTCTCAGGTACACCCTCTGTTCCTTGGCTCTTGAGATGTCCTCAGCCGAGGAGTCCCCCTTGTCTTCTCCTCATGTCAGCATTCTATTTGGAGAACCAGATCTACTCTAGTGCCTCCATGAAGCCCACCCTGATCCTTGACCCCCTGTCTTACTCTGCTCAGCTGCCATAACAAAGTACCACAGCCTGAGTGGCTTAAACAACAGAAACATGTTGCTCATAGCTCTGGAGGCCAGCAGTCCAGGATCAAGGTGCTGGTTGATTCAGTTCCTGGTGAGAGCTCTCTTTCTGGCTTGCAGACATCTGCCTTCTCACTGTGACCTCACGTGGTGGAGAGAGAGAGCGAGCTCTGGTGTCTCTTCTTATAAAATCACCAATTTTATCAAATCAGTGTCCTACCCTTATAACCTCATTCAACCTTAATTACCTCGATAAAGGCCCCATCTCCAAATACAGTCACATCAAGGATTAGGACTTCAACATATGCGTTTGGGGGAGACACAAATATTTAGTCCATAACAGACCCCCAAAATTCATGTTCTTCTTGCATGAAAAATACATTCATTTCATCCCAACAACCCTATTAACCCCAATGAGTTAATGAAACTTATCTTGTTCCAATATCACCTCTAAAGTCTAAAGTCCAAAGTCTCACCTAAATATCATCTAAGTCAGGCATTAGTGTCAAGATTGCAGCATAGGCAGACTCTGAACTCACCTCCTCCCGTGGACAGAACAGACTTACAACTACTCTTTGAACAATTACTCCTGAGACAGAACTGAAAACTGGGTAAGAGGAACCCCTGCAACACACAACAGTCCTGACTGAGGTGGAAGAGGCAGAAATTCTGGAGAGAAAAAAAGCCACCTTCAAAAGCTGCAGCACTTCATGGCCACCTGGGAGAAATCCAAATGTACACAGCCTTCCCTGGTGGAGTGGGGAATCTGAGCACAGGAGCATTGCCACTATAAGCAATTTTTGGACCCAGCACAACTGAGATGAGTGTCATAATATCTGGCTTTGCTGGCTACTAACAACAATGGGGAATACCGCCAGAAAGGCTATCGGACATAAGAAAAAAAAAAAAAAAGCCAGCTCTAATGGGCCCATGCACAGATTCACCCATTTTGGAAAGCAGCCTAAAATCACCAGAAAGAAAGGTGCACATTCCTTTGAGACCCACCAAATAGGTCCTGGGTGCATCTCAGTGAGAGGTGAGATCTCTCCAGGGACTGAGACATTGGCAGCAGCCATTGCTGTAAGCTGGTGCAGGCGTGATGATACAGACACTGGGAGACGCCATTGGAGTTCTTCCCCTGGCATCTCTGCCCAGGGTCTGCCCCACCCACTAGAGCACCAATTTAATCCAGTTCAGCCAGGGCAGGCAGCCCACCCTAGGGATTGGCCCCACCCAACAACAACCCTCAGGCAACTTGTGGGCCTGTATAGGCTGGGTGCACCTTGGCAAGTGGGTCCACCTCTGTGGGGCAGGCCTACACAAGGAGCGGGTGGAGGGTGTGGGGCATTGGTGGAGTGTGTGGGGCCTCTGCTGTGGGGTGACTGGTTTCCCTCAGGTGGTCTGGCACATGCACGGGGCAGGACTGTGTTGACAGTGTGCGCGGCCCTGTAGGAGGTGGGGCTTGTCAGCTGCAGAAGACTTGTGCTTTTCAAAGAGACACATAGGGGATTGGCCCCACCTTCCAAAGCCTGAGACAATTGGGTGCTCCCGTGCCTGGGTCCAGCCCCACCAAGCTACAATCCTGAGAGCTGACAAGAGCCTTATAGGCCTGAGGCCTACAGCAATTGTAAGCTCCTGAGCCTAACAACCAGCCACGCTGGCGGCCTACTCACTCAAGAGAAAAACTGCAACAGGAACATGCTATTAGACCTTGCAGCCAACTGTACTAGGGCTCCCCACATGTAATAAAGAGAAGGAAGGGTCCATAGCAGCCACATGCAACTGAGCATTACAACCAGCCAGCCAGGGGGACAGCTCAGCCTTGCTGGGCACCTACAGCAAGAACAACCATGCCACAACAGAAAGACATACGTAGCCCACGTGGGGGTTACTCCTGGAACTTCTGGAACTAGTGACGAGAGGGAAGCACACTGCTGAGCCTCATAAAGCATCTCTTAAATAAGCTCACCTCTCTGAGATCAGGAGACATTGCTGACGTACCTAATGCATAGATACAAGCACAGAGAGAGAGGCAAAATGAGGAGGCAAAGGAATACATTTCAAGTAAGGGAACAGGACAAAACCCCAGAGAAAAAACTAAATGAAACAGAAATGAGAAATCTACCTGACAAAGAGTTCAAACAGAGTCATAAGGATGCTCACTGATCTGGGGAGGACAATGAATGAACTCAGTGAGAACATCAACAAAGAAATGGAAAATATAAAAAAGAACCATTCAGAAAAGAAGAATACAATACTGGAAATGAAAAATCACTAAAGGGACTCAAAAGCAGACTAGATGATACAGAAGAACAGATCAGCAAGCTGGACAAAAGACTAGAGGAAATCACCCAAGCTGAACAGATAAAAGAAAAAAGAATTAAAAAGAGAGAGGACAGTCTCAGGGACCTGTGGGACAGCATCAAGCACACTAACATCCAGAGAAGGAGACGAGAGAGAGAAATGGGCAGAGAATCCATTTGAAGAAATAATAGCTGAAAACTTTCCTAACCCAAGGAAAGAAACAGACATCCAGGTACAGGAAGCACAGAGAGCACCAAACAAGATAAACCCAAAGAGGCCCACACTGAGACACATCATAATTAAAATGTCCAGAATTAAAGATAAAGAGAGAATCCTAAAAGCCACAAGAGAAAGGCAACAAGTTACATACAAAGGAAACCCCCTAAGGCTATCAGCTGACTTCTCAGCAGAAACCTTACAGGCTAGAAGAGAGTGGCATGATATATTTAAAGTGCTAACAGGAAAAAACCTACAGCCAAGAATACTCTAC